ATAATAATGATAACAATGAAAGTGCTTTGTCGTAACAGGGCCCCGTCTTATAAAGAGTTCATATCAATTGCAACTATGCACACACGAGATAGGAGACAGTTCGTTGGTACTGATAAAAAAATAATTATAAAATTGATAGGAATAATACTAAGGATATTTATAATAATAACGATAACGACAACAAGAATATTATTTATAATAATAATAATGATGATAATAATGATGATAATAATGATGATAATAACATTAATTATAATGATAATAATAATTTGTCCACCAGGGCCCGTCTTATTAAGAGATACCAATCACAACTTTGTATATATAAGCAATGTGAGACTGCAACTTGCGATTGATTACAGGACTTACTTTGATTTGAATCATTCGTAACTGTTTATAAGACGGGGTCCAGATCATCGACTTGAACTTTTGAATTTCGCATGCGACTAAAGATTAACACTAAATTCAGTGGCAATGTATACAACTATAATAATAATAATAGGCATTTCTATAGCCCATCTGGTTGGAGTCCAGGGGCATCGGAGGGCACGCCTTTAAACTCGGGGATACCGAAAAACCTGAGAGACTTTAGTTTTGGCAATTAAGAACCTTCAGGATAACCGTCTTGAGCGATAGAAACACACATTTGTTCCTGAGGACAATTTTATACAACAGAGGGTTGTCTTGGGAACCACTTCTATCTTTCTGGATAGGGTTCAGCTCCCTCCTTATGGCATCTGGTGGGTTGTATGGGCAGTCCTCCCGCCATGATCCTGGAGGCGGAGCCCCCGGACGCTCTCGAGTCTTCGTAATTCAGGTCCTGGTTTGACCATTTTGTTACAGCTGGGTCCCTTTGTGGAGATAATTGCATGACAGGACGTTCAAATCAAGTCGATCATCACCAATGTGTGTGTGTGCGTTTGTGTGTGTGTGCGTGTGTTTGTGTGCTCAAACAATTCCATTTTTATTTCGTCTCAACTTTTGTAAACAAGACCTTCGTTTTAAGAGACAGACTGTGGGGCACGTTTGATTAATATTAAAAGCTGCTGTTCAGAACTCATAATTCAGATAAACATCGTTTTGGTCAAGCAAGGGAAACTCTTTCACTATGCTTTCTGTCAATTTGATTGTACAGTTAATTATATTCGTTTACTAAGTCTATTTTCAGACGATTCAAAAAATTTGTATATGTATTTGTCCTTGTGGGTTTTCGAGACAACATAAAACTATTGTTGTTCAATATACCTGTAGTTTTGTCTTGACTTATCATGTTTTGCGGATGCACAAATAATGTGGAATTGATTGGTTATTGAACGTGAGGATTATACACAGCAGGATATATTCTATGTTAAATCTTTAGATGAAAAGTCTTCTTTCTGTTTTACTTTATTACAATTTTTTGTGTGGATGTTTCTTTGTATTGATTATGTACAGTTTTTAAAATTTCTTTTAAACAAATCCTTGCCACTTCCAAAATTCCGTATTTCCCTACAGATAAAGAAGTTGAAGACACACGGTGAAATAACAATTACAATCATTGTGACGTGCGTGCTCCTTTTCAATTTGGTCTGTGCATAAATTTCATAAACTTTCATTTTCTTTGACCCCGGACTAGTTTTTTTTTATTCCATACAGGGGTTCTATAGAAACATATTTTCAATAATGATATTTAGAGTGAACGTGTGAGTGCAACTCTTCTAGATAGAAAAGATTCGTCACAGTTTGATTGATCACAACTTCAAAAATTTATAACTTTTTTTTAATTTTCAATCAGGAATTAACTCAAATGTTCACTGACCAGTTTCTCTACTTGTTCTGCCTTTGTTAAAACTAACTTAATATCAGATGGATTTCCCCTTTAAGTTTGTCTTTTTCATAGATTAGGGATACTTAAAAAACATCTGGCCAGCAGCAAACCAATTTGATTGTCCTTTTTGGGATTCTCATTATGGGACTGCATGTGTGACAACTATCCAGCTGTCGACAATCACCCGTTGATACATATTACTGATTACAATTTTTCGCAATTGCAAAATACATAAACAATATAGTAATAGTGGTAGAAGTAGTAGTAATAGTAGTAGTTAGGTCTAGAGCCCTGAACAAAAATAGTTTTAAAGTTTGTGGACAATCCAAAAAATAATTCATGGTGTCATTGTTATTTATGTTCCAACATTGTAAAATTATTTGTACATGTATATACGGAAAGTCCTGTAATGTTCCTGATAATCGAATAAATCCTGATAAGTGAGCGATTGTTTTTGGAATTATATAATGGCTTTTGACCCACATCCATTCCTTCAGCCCAAACTTGGTACACGAGGATTTTGACAATGCTTTTTGAAAAGCGTGCTGCTCAGTCATCCGTAGTAGCAAAATTATGAATATGGTATCATTAAAGAGAAATATTATTCAAGGAATTGTTATATATTATAACTTTTTAATTAGAAGCTACCAAATTTGGCTCCATTTTTTGTTGACACGCACTGTATTCACCACCGAAAATGTTATAAACACAATTCTCATTAGAAAATATTGCCTTCGGATGTCAGTTTTCTATTTCTTCTAACATACTTAAATATTAGTCTATTCTGTTTTTAAGAACTTTGCTGACTTTTTTGCTAGGAAATGATCGGTAAATTTATTAATTGATTTTATTCGTCAAGTATGAGCAAATTTACAATATGGGACAAGGGAAATATTTCCCATTGAGTTAAAGAATAAAGTAAGAAATTCTACACTATGGGGGGGGGGGTATAGTAAGTGTTTATTTATATGTTCATGATCATTTCGTTTTTAGTTTAGACCATTAGATTACGATTTGATGGTTGGGCTTAAAGGGCACCGGAGTCTTCATTGTTGTCATTATTTGAGGATGGTGAATTTATATCAAAGTTTCAAGATTAATATCATAGTTTAATTACGCAAAATGTGAGGAAATGCTCTAAAGCACATCGCGTTACTGTCATAATTGGAAGTAGATTGTGGGTTCTAGCAATGACAACGGAATGCTAAAACAAGTTATTATTTGATGTAAAACAAGGGAACAGTACTTGTGGGGGTAAATAGACATATTAGACATAAACATGTTGTGTATTGAACCCAAGGGAATCCAAAACATCCTATTCCATCAAAATATAATATCGTCAAACCATATTAGGATGAATAAATCTGTCTTGCTTTAAGCAATCATTCAAAGCAAAATGGAAATAAATTTGTTCATGTATTTTTTTCTGAAAATCACACGCACTACACTCATCAATTGGTACGACGTGCACACTGTGGTGCATAGTTTCCAACTCTTTCTCTTCATATTTCGAATATCAGAACATATGAAAAGTATTTCTATATCAATATTATTCCAAGGTGACATCGAAAAATAATTTAAAATCCCCCTCAATTGTTAATATCATTTTATCAACGAAGGTGTGCCGGAGGCATTATATTCGGGTCGGCTGAATCAATTGCGGTACGAACTTTAAACATGGTGATAATTGTATCATCATAGATAAACGATCTGACTAGATTTGGGAATATGTATGTATGTCAAATGTCATAAAGGTCAATTCCCATGAAATGAAAGGTAATTAGCCTCATTGTTGTAATATTTCGAGAGTCGTTTGAGGTATGAACGTCAAACATGAGGATATCATTCATCAGATTACAGGGAGACTAATGGGTTAGTGAACATCCGGAACTTTAGCCTTGTTTCAAGTTCCCGATATCTGAAGTATATATTTGAGGACAATGACCTAATTACATGTATCACCATAGAGGGACGGAATGATAATAATTAGGTTTAATTAAGAATGTTGAAATCAGTTTAGATGTCATGAAATTGTATTTTGAGCCACTCATCGTCAAACCACCACAATTTAAGGCACTGGAACCGGGGGCAGAGAGCACAATGCCTAAATGTCATAAAAACGGACTGCCCCCCTATTAGACATAGAATCGTCGATGTTAATCATGTTAAAAGAGACATGAGTGATTACAATACGTGCTTGTTGAGATGTTTTTGCCACCCTGCCACCCTCCCCCCCCCCCCCCCCCCCCCCCCCCCCCCCCCCCCCTCTCCGAAAGAACAGGTTTCTCGTAGCATCCCTTACGGATGCCCTAATTACGTAATCTATCAAAGGTCGTATCCATTATTTCATTATAATATTGGGCTTAGTTCCTCTTGATAACATCCAATCGATCGCATCTCGACCTCACAAATCTTGCCCTCTCGCGGGCAAATTATTCTTTAGATCATCGAACACACCAGTACTGCATATTATGATTTTTAAGCAATTTATTCGACCCTGTAGAAATACAAACAGTGAAATCCTGAAGATCATCCTTGATAATGTGGTAATTACAATAACATCACATATTTTTGTTCCACTTTTACGTAACCCATTGCAGTTGAACCTTTTTATCTAAAAAGTGCCCTTTTGTGAGTGTTCCCCCCTTAAAGACGATCCGGCCTCCCCGTTCATGTGTACATTAGAGGCAAAAAATTCCATTTCATAGATAATGTGTCATGGGCTGTTTAGACATTCCTAACAACATTTATTTCAAGGATGTATTTTTTAGTTGCAATTTTCCAGGGACATCCCCTCTCCTTTTAACTTCAACTGCACTCATTGAGAGCACATAACGACGATGAGAAAAGAGGGCTAATGTATTCAGCTACTCGTAGAACCCAAGCAATATACACGACCGAAAGTGTTATAAACACAATTCTCATGAGCAATATTGCCATTGGAGGTCAGTTTTTCATTTCATCTAACATATACTTGAATATTAGTTTCGTCTGTATTAATATCGTTTTGCTGACTTGTTCGCTTGGAAAATAATCTGTTAATTGATTGAATGATTTCATTCGTCAAGTATGAGCAAATAATAATTATATGTTCATAATCATTTAGTTTTAAGTTTAGATCATTAGATTATGGTTTGCCGGATGGTTTGTGTGACTGTCTGTGAGGCGAAACGCTGAATAATTACAACGACTCAGGTTTTTACGGGAGTGTCAGTTTATTTTAGAGTCATAACCATCGAGGGGAATGCAACTCTGTCTTTGATGAACGAATCTTTTATCTTTACTCCTTCAACTGCTTTATTCCGTTCTTCTTCCCTTCACTCCGTGAAAACTGTACATGATAAAGCATAACAGGAATGCATAATAAGTATGTGTTCATGAATATAAGTTCCACAATATTAAAGCAGATATAGCATTCTACTAAATCAAAGACATTGTCTGAATTATAACTCCTTTTCATGTTTGCTTGTAAATCTTATATAAGTCAGACACTGTCTTGACAAATCTATCTGAACTTTATGTAGAATGTCACAGCTAACACACAATTAAACTTATATCATCTCTATCATGTCTAAACCAGATTTAACACGGTTTCAACTAAAAATGTAACCATATTTAACGAGCTTGAATGACTTTATCATAGTCAAGGAATACAATAACAAAGTCATGACCTTGACCTGTCATTCACACAAGTATGCTCACATTCCTCCTTCTTCGTTATCGAACTATAATGTGCCTTTAAGTTTCTGTTTAGCGGACTAAGTGCTATAATCATAAAGTGGATGATTTACGTCATACACTATTAAACCATTTCAAATCTAATGTATAGCTTGTAAAACTTTGTCACTATACTACCATTACAATAAGCAAGCATATATGCAATTCTATCTAAATACCTAAGTACCTAGCAAGGCATAAGAACGTCAATATACATGCAATATAAATTCTACAATATCAGTCAAATGATCTATTTATAGCATGCATGGAACTCGGACTCGTCCAAAAATGATTCCCTAAATCATTGCTAACAAACAGTTTCTACCAGGAAAACCCCAGCTATTTTCATACAGAAAAAGTCTGTTATTTTAAACAACCTGTAGCGACAAATGTTACAGTGCATTCATTTATAATTCACTGGTATACATATTGTGTTTTTAATCCAAAATGGCCGCTTTAGAAGTCATTGAGAGTTCGAGGATTTGGTATTACGCCATGTCCTCAGAACTGGTTTTAACTCGATTTATTATATAACGATGTTTATTCATTAGTATTTTGATCACATGACCAATTAACATAGATGTACGCGTATTTATTCATAAGTATTTAGATCACGTGCCTTATTAACATACATGTGCGCTTGTTTTGAACCAATCGCGCTGTAGTTGATTGGCGCTCTTCTGATTTTCCTGTGCGGGAATCAGTGAGCTGTTTTAATATTGGTATACACACATGCTGTTATTGTGTTGATATTTGTACCTAGAAAATTGTATCCAACGAGGATTGAACTGCTACGTCCCCGGACCATTCCCGGTGGACGTGCTCACCTATTTACATCTTGTACGTTTTGCAAGATATATTTTGACTCTCTCGATGTTCAACATTGACGACACTTTAATTCACCAGCAGTGAGAATAGAACATTTAATATGATCTAACGTTTTTCTCACCTGCATTATTGTTTGACAACCTTTTATCATCGACTTCATATATATTGTCTCGACATTTGATTCTTCGACCTGCATCGCAAGTCACTGAAGTTGATCTATTGACATTGACTGCATCATCATTGTATTCATCTGTTAACTGATTCATCATCGTTGTCTTCATCACCGTTGTCTTCATCATCGCTGTCTTCACCAGCGTCGTCTTCATCGTCGACTTCATCATCGCTGTCTTCACCAGCGTCGTCTTTATCATTGTTGTCATCATCGTTGTCTTCAACATCGTCTTCATCATCGTGGTATTCACCTAGCGTCGATCATCGTCTGCATATCCTACGCGATCGACAACCTGCTCGTCGACCACTGTTTTCGACTAGCTAGTTTCTACATCTACCTAAATTAGAACTTGAAGAAGATCTACTTTGAATTCAACTCCAATGACTCACGTAACGTTAATTATATTGTGATTTATGCTTTGCATTGTTTATCATTGTGAGGCCTTATTTTGACTGACTGAGTGCCTGTTGTTGAGTGCGTACGCTTACTAACACATATTTTACATGTTTATAATTGCACTAGTCCTAGGCCTATGCCTGGTCTACTGATCTAGATCTGCTATAGTCTAGATCCACCGATATATTGTTGTATTCTCGTGTTGTGCATTCCGTACACATACACAAGTAGAGATTTGTTTAGCGGTTTCTTGAACCACAATATTTCGTGCCTATGTAAGTAAATCTAAACGCTGTCTAGCTTAGATTTGAGTAGTATTTTCTTGACTGTTATTATTCATGCAGTGGTAATGATATTTAACTGACTTGTTTTAGTACTGTTTTAAGTTGTACTGAACAGCTAGACTCCTGATATTTCGAGACTTGTATTCAGCGGTAATCATTAATACCATAGTGACTAAGTTGAGTCTCCTTTACATTAATGTGCTGTTGGAAGTTATCTATGTTTGATTATTAATAGTAACTACCAAGGGCCTAGTGATAGTTTAATTGTCTGTCACTGTTGAGATAGACAGAAGAGGTTTCTGATAATTCTGTAATCATTGTATCTTATGTGAAATTATAGAATATAGAACCAGTTTTTAACCATAATCAATTTGTCTGGATGTGATCATTTATTAAGTGTTTTCTTGTCTGGAGGGATACTGCTTTTTAGCAGTTTAATTAAAAAAGGGAATTATGTGGGATTACTAGTTAACACGCAACATAGTCCATACCCCATGTAGTTTTCTAAATTGGTGACCCCGACGTGATCCCCCTGAGATAAGAAACATTTAGATTACCTTTGCTTATTAATAATTTTTTTTTTTTACCATTAGATAATCACATTTCTTACTGATACATTGAATTTAGTTGTGTAAACAGTGGACGTGGCGCGGCGTCATGACTGAACCCAATACTCTTCAGCACCAAGTTGCTGCGCTCACGAAATTGGTCAAGGAATTGACCGCCACTATCGGTCGCATGCGGAGCCGAAGCAGCAGCATGAGAAGCATGAGCAGCAACAGGAAGCGCGACTCATCCGGCTATAAATCAGCGAGCACTTCTGAAGTTTGCTGGTATCATGAGAAGTGGGGTGACAAGGCTCACCAGTGCCGCCCGCCATGCACATATAGCAAGCCGGCGGAAAACAACTAGGCCAGGAGGTGGGCGCGACACCCCTCACTGGCCCTCTTCGTGACGGTCGCTTGTTCTATGTCACAGATAGAGATTCTGGGACACGATTTTTGGTTGATACGGGTGCCGCGGTAAGCGTAATTCCTGCCAACACCGCTGATAAGAGGCACCTTATGCCACTCGTTTTGCAGGCTGCAAACAAGACGCGCATATGCACATATGGGCAGCGTGAGCTCACAGTGTGTATTGGGTTGCGGCGTTCGTTTAAGTGGTCATTCATATTGGCCGATGTTTCGCAGCCTATCCTCGGCGCAGATTTTTTGAGGCATTACGGCTTACTAGTGGATTTGCGCACCAACCGACTTTGGGATGCCACCACTAGTCTGTCCGTACATGGCATCGCCTCCGACTTACCGTCGCTGAATCTCACAATAGTGCAAGTAGACTCCGATTCTGTCTACAAACGCTTACTTGCCGAGTTCACGGAAGTAACTCGGCCCATGTTTAAGAACTGTCCGTTGAAACATGACGTCACACATAGAATACTCACAACCGGCCCACCAGTTTCGGCACGACCTCGACGCTTAGCGCCGGACAAACACAAGATCGCTAAAGACGAGTTTGGCCGATTACTCGATTTGGGCATTGTCGAGCCCTCAGACAGTTCATGGGCGTCGCCGCTCCACATGGTGCCAAAGAAGTCAGGCGGTTGGCGACCATGTGGCGATTACCGCGCTCTTAATCGCGTGACCGTCCCGGATCGCTATCCCATTCCGCACCTTCACGACTTTGCCGCACAGTTGCGAGACAAGTGCGTATTTTCCAAAGTTGACTTAGTGCGCGCATATCATCAGATCCCCGTACACCCTGATGATGTGAAGAAGACCGCGCTGACAACCCCTTTTGGGTTATTCCATTTCCGACGCATGCCATTCGGACTACGCAACGCGGCGCAAACCTTTCAAAGGTTTATTGATAGGGTCGTCCGTGACCTGCCATTTGTATTCGTGTATCTTGATGATATTCTTGTTGCCAGCGAGAATCCCGAACAGCACGAGACTCATTTGCGCCAGCTGTTCACAAGCCTCCGTGATTATGGAGTAGTAGTGCATCCTGACAAATGCCAGTTTGGAGTCGAAGCACTAGACTTTCTAGGGCACCATGTGACTGCCCAGGGCGTCTCCCCGATGGATGACAAGGTCGCGGTAATTCGCAAATTTCCGCGCCCTACCTCGCTACGCCAGCTGCGCCGGTTCTTAGGCATGGTTAATTTTTACCGCCGATTTATGCCTAAGTGCGCATCCTCGCTGGCCGCCTTGACTGATTTGCTGCGCAAGCAACCTAAGCGCTCTCGAAAGGCGTTAGATTGGTCCCCTGTGTGCGACTCTGCTTTCGCGGCTGTCAAAGAGGACCTCGCGAACGTCACGATGCTTACATACCCGTCTGTTGAGCTACCTACAAGCCTCGCGGTAGACGCTTCCGATCTCGCCGTAGGTGGTGTGTTACAGCAACTCCATGAAGGGGAGTGGCGACCGCTTGCGTTCTTTTCTCGCCGCCTCAAGCCTCCCGAGACTAGGTATAGTACCTTTGGTCGAGAGCTGCTAGCCATTTACCTCGGAATACGCCATTTCCGATACTTCTTAGAGGGGCGTGATTTTTTTGTTTTTATTTATTTTTATTTTTTTTATTTATTTCGCATCTTTATACAGAGTAACATGTTCAGCTAAAAATCATTACAAAACATTGTTAAAAACATTAAAATAGGCTGGTTTACAACAGGGCTCTGTTTAAAAAACAACATAAAATGACAATGAACAATATTATATATAGAAATGACAGGGGTAACGAAAGCTAACACACACACCTGTTTACCACCTGTTTACAAACTAAAAATTACATTAAAATCAAGCATAAAATGAATTTGACCTCACGGGTACAGACCACAAGCCTCTTACCTTTGCGCTCAAGACATCGCCCGATCGACATTCCCCTAGGGAAGCGCGGCAACTCGATTACGTGTCACAGTTTACCTCCGACATACGCCATATTCGAGGCGTTGATAATCAGGTAGCTGATGCACTTTCTCGCACCGAGATTGACTCAGTGCAATTACCGAACTCGATTAACCTGCGTGTAGTCGCGACCGACCAAGTCGATGACGTTGAGCTCGCTGCTCTGCGCTCAGACACGTCAACCTCGCTCAAATTTGAGAAGGTCCTCCTTCCGGAAGGGGACGCGCATATTTGGTGCGACATGTCCACAGGGCATCCGCGGCCGTATGTATCGGTAGCGCACCGTCGATCGTTGTTTGACAATCTGCACAATCTCGCGCATCCGGGCATTAAAGCTTCGCAAAAGCTTATAGCGGCCCGTTTTGTGTGGCGGGGTATGAACAAGGACATTTGTACATGGGCGCGTACTTGCATCCCATGTCAGCGCGCAAAGATCCAACGTCATACGCACTCACCGCTTGGCACTTTTGCCAACCCCGATGCCCGTTTTGCACACGTTCATATTGATCTTGTTGGGCCACTACCGCCCTCGAAAGGGCACATTTATCTGCTGACTTGTATCGACAGGTTCACCCGTTGGCCCGAAGCGATCCCGATAGCGGATGCCACTGCCGAGACAGTAGCCATAGCTCTAGTGGAGAACTGGGTAGCTCGCTTTGGAGCTCCAGCCACGATTACGCATGATCGAGGTCGTCAGTTTCAATCTGCGCTTTTCACTGCATTAGCTAATTTGCTAGGTTGTCGGACCATAGCCACCACGGCCTACCACCCGCAGGCCAACGGTATGGTGGAACGGTTCCATCGGCAACTTAAAGCCTCTCTCAAATCTCAACCCGAGCCGAACCGTTGGCAAGAATACCTTCCTTTGGTCATGTTGGGTATCCGCGCAGCTATTAAGGAAGACATCGGAGCTTCCGCTGCCGAACTAGTCTACGGGACGGCGTTGCGTCTTCCAGGCCAGCTGATAGTGCCTACGCGACACGATACTGTTGACCCCGCGGACTACGTCCAACGCTTGAAGGACCATATGTCTGTTTTAGCGCCTACAGCGACACGTAGGTCACCACAGACCAGTTTTGTACATAGGTCTCTCGATACTTGTACGCATATTTTCTTGCGTATCGATGCTGTCCGTAAGCCATTACAGCCTCCGTATTTGGGTCCGTTCAAGGTTCTCAAACGAAACCCGAAGTTTTTCGTTATTGAGCAAAAGGGCAAGCATGTTTCTGTAAGCATTGATCGACTGAAACCCGCATTTTTGGAAAGCGTTTCGGCCAGGACTACCGCGGCTGACGTGCCTCTAGAGGGAGAGCCTACCGTCTCCTCCCCTCTGCGCACAGCACTTCGCGCAACCTCTGCGCCTGCTCCTGCACCTGCTCCTACGCCTGCTCCTGCTCTGGTGAAATCGCGACCTGCTGCGCGTGTCACACGTTCAGGCCGCCACGTCCACTGGCCGCAGAGGTACGTTCAGGTTCACTACATTGAACGTGTCGCATAAATAGTGGTTATTTTCATGTATATTAATGTATTTTGTACATATGTTTCTTTTATATTTTTAATTGTGTATTTTCGCCCCTCGGAGCTTACGCAAGCTCGGGTCTAGTAGGGGGGTTAATGTAGCGACAAATGTTACAGTGCATTCATTTATAATTCACTGGTATACATATTGTGTTTTTAATCCAAAATGGCCGCTTTAGAAGTCATTGAGAGTTCGAGGATTTGGTATTACGCCATGTCCTCAGAACTGGTTTTAACTCGATTTATTATATAACGATGTTTATTCATTAGTATTTTGATCACATGACCAATTAACATAGATGTACGCGTATTTATTCATAAGTATTTAGATCACGTGCCTTATTAACATACATGTGCGCTTGTTTTGAACCAATCGCGCTGTAGTTGATTGGCGCTCTTCTGATTTTCCTGTGCGGGAATCAGTGAGCTGTTTTAATATTGGTATACACACATGCTGTTATTGTGTTGATATTTGTACCTAGAAAATTGTATCCAACGAGGATTGAACTGCTACGTCCCCGGACCATTCCCGGTGGACGTGCTCACCTATTTACATCTTGTACGTTTTGCAAGATATATTTTGACTCTCTCGATGTTCAACATTGACGACACTTTAATTCACCAGCAGTGAGAATAGAACATTTAATATGATCTAACGTTTTTCTCACCTGCATTATTGTTTGACAACCTTTTATCATCGACTTCATATATATTGTTTCGACATTTGATTCTTCGACCTGCATCGCAAGTCACTGAAGTTGATCTATTGACATTGACTGCATCATCATTGTATTCATCTGTTAACTGATTCATCATCGTTGTCTTCATCACCGTTGTCTTCATCATCGCTGTCTTCACCAGCGTCGTCTTCATCGTCGACTTCATCATCGCTGTCTTCACCAGCGTCGTCTTTATCATTGTTGTCATCATCGTTGTCTTCAACATCGTCTTCATCATCGTGGTATTCACCTAGCGTCGATCATCGTCTGCATATCCTACGCGATCGACAACCTGCTCGTCGACCACTGTTTTCGACTAGCTAGTTTCTACATCTACCTAAGTTAGAACTTGAAGAAGATCTACTTTGAATTCAACTCCAATGACTCACGTAACGTTAATTATATTGTGATTTATGCTTTGCATTGTTTATCATTGTGAGGCCTTATTTTGACTGACTGAGTGCCTGTTGTTGAGTGCGTACGCTTACTAACACATATTTTACATGTTTATAATTGCACTAGTCCTAGGCCTATGCCTGGTCTACTGATCTAGATCTGCTATAGTCTAGATCCACCGATATATTGTTGTATTCTCGTGTTGTGCATTCCGTACACATACACAAGTAGAGATTTGTTTAGCGGTTTCTTGAACCACAATATTTCGTGCCTATGCAAGTAAATCTAAACGCTGTCTAGCTTAGATTTGAGTAGTATTTTCTTGACTGTTATTATTCATGCAGTGGTAATGATATTTAACTGACTTGTTTTAGTACTGTTTTAAGTTGTACTGAACAGCTAGACTCCTGATATTTCGAGACTTGTATTCAGCGGTAATCATTAATACCATAGTGACTAAGTTGAGTCTCCTTTACATTAATGTGCTGTTGGAAGTTATCTATGTTTGATTATTAATAGTAACTACCAAGGGCCTAGTGATAGTTTAATTGTCTGTCACTGTTGAGATAGACAGAAGAGGTTTCTGATAATTCTGTAATCATTGTATCTTATGTGAAATTATAGAATATAGAACCAGTTTTTAACCATAATCAATTTGTCTGGATGTGATCATTTATTAAGTGTTTTCTTGTCTGGAGGGATACTGCTTTTTAGCAGTTTAATTAAAAAAGGGAATTATGTGGGATTACTAGGTAACACGCAACATAGTCCATACCCCATGTAGTTTTCTAAAAACCAAAGAAATGAACAATTTTTTCCAGCCAATTTTGCGGCATTCCCCTGGTGCTATAAATTGAACATACTTGTTCACATAACATCTTGTACATAGAGAATTCCCAAAAGAATAACTGCCTTTTGTTTCTTACGAGCGACTCTGACTTTAGACTTGACCAATAATACTCGACTAGTCTTGCTTCAGTCCTTTCCTACAAATTTGTTACTAGACTCAGTTTCAGACTTTACCAAATAAATTTGTCTTCTTCAAAAATCAAATTGTCCATCATATAATGAAGATAAAGTTAGTCTTGCTTTTAGACTCTATGAATAAATATTCTTCTCTGTGCTAGTCTTTTACTCAGACCCTAAATTCAATATAATTAGTCTTTACAAAATCCATAAATGTCTAGATAATGACTTTCTGCCATAAACAAAAGTTCCATAAACCTCCGGTTCCTTAGAGTTCAAATGAGGTCATTTAAATGAGTTCCACATCTCATACTTAAACTGTTAAAATGTAAATTCCCTTGTTTGTTACTATAAATGTTCTTGGCTCCTTGGCTGGGAATTACACTTGGTCTTCTTGCGGTACTAATAAAACCAATTTGTGAATTGGGCGGTCAAGGTAATAGACAGTGGAGAGTTTCGCTTTCCCTGTCTATTCAGTTCTGGATCACCCACTGTGATCTTCACCTTGCGGACATGGCCATCGTCAGACGCGAACACTTGAGCGATTCTTCTCAGCGGCCACGAGTTTCTAGGAATGTTATCGTTCTTCGTCGGCACGATGTCGTCTAACTTCATGTTGCGCTGTGGCTTCGTCCATTTCTGCCATGACTGTAGTTGGCTCAGGAATTCTTTCCTCCATCGAGACCAGAACTTCTTGGCTAGGTGTTGTACTCTTCTCCATCGTTTCTTGGCGTACACATCTTTTCGTGGAAAGTTACCTGGCGGCGGTAATATCACCCTTGATTTCTGAGTCAACAGGTGATCTGGAGTTAGCGGTACTAGATGAGTCGGCTCATCAAATGAACCCTCTGCTCGCTTTAATCGTCCTCCAACCCGTAAAACTCCCCTTTCCATTTTCATCTTGTCTGTCAGTGGATCATCCCAGTCAGCACCTTCTCTGCACAATTCCTGAACACTCTGTATGCCTCTCAATGTCACTGGAGCAATCAGTCCAAGAGGATCGTAGAGTGACATGACTGTTGAAAGCACTCCTCTTCCGGTGCATGGCTTGTCAGCAAATGTGATGCGAAAGTTGAAGGAATCTGATTCTATGCACCACTGCAGACCTATGGCTCGTTCAATCGTCAGCTCATCGTGTAGTAGATTGAGTTCTTTCACACACTTGGCTCGTTCTTCCATAGGCACTGCCTGCATTACCTCTCTTGAGTTGGAAACAATCTTGTGCAGGTGCAGTTTTCCTTCCTTGCAGAGCACTCTAGTCTGTGTCATCAAGTCGACTGCCTCTGCTGATTTGGGAACAGAGATCAAACCATGGACCACGTATAAGTCACTGTGTACGAAGTTTGCTGCAGCTACACACTTGTCTTTGTGGTCAGTTACAGTTTTCTTTCGTCCATAATTCGCACACCCTGGTGATGAGGCAGCACCAAACAAGTGTGCCTTCCTTCTATAGTGATGAACTGGTTGCTGGTAATCACCATCAGGCCACCACACATCACACATGAAGGCTGGCCTTTCCATCCGGAATCTGCACAAGACGCCAGCCAGTGCATTTGTCATTTCCGGTCCTGTCATCAAATGTTCGTTCAACGATTCTCCTTTATACTGAACACTACAGTCAAAGACGTCTCTCAATTTGTTCGGTTGTTGAACGCCGTGATGTGGAATGTACCAGACTGTTTTTTTGTAGTCCATGGGTTCTGGTACATACTCTGAATACTCATTCTTGATGAGAGCATCCATTACCTTGGTGTAATGTTCGTGATAGACTACATCCTTTGTTAACTTCCGTCTTAAGCCTTGTAGCCTCATCTTGGCTTGGAACACATTGCTTGGCATCAACGGTTACTCCATCTTGAGTGGTAGTGGCATTTCGTAGTGCCCATTATCCGCAACATGGATGCCATCTTCCATTACTTTCAGAAACCTTTCATCATGCTGCGAATAAGGCCTCTCATTCGTGTCTGCATTGAAACCTGCTTCCATAGGTTTCACGATGTGGCTCGGTTGATATCTTCCTTTACGGCGATAGACTGTGCCAACACTGCATCGGACTTCTGATGTTTGTTGACACCATGTAATTCAGTGGAGCCTATTAGATCCTCTGAACTGCCTTGATAGTTGGAGTCCACTGTGCCGATGATACTCCAACCAAAATCGGTCTGCGTCCCGAAAGGTCCATCTTCGTTGTTGGTGACAGCTGGCGGTCCGTTGTCAACCCTTTCTTTGCACCTGTATTGATAGGAGGCAGTGGAGGAGGCCTCTGAGGCCACATCACCACGTAAGAGAATCAATGTTTTTGCGGCTTCTTTCATCAAGCCGAATTGCTTTTCCTCCATCACTTCAAGCTTGTCCTCGCTGTCGTCCTCTTTTGACAAGGCAGCTGTGACTTCTGCCAGCGTTTCCTGAGTTGCGATGGCGTTCTCGATTGCTTGTTGGGTGCCTTTTCGACCATCTCTAATTATTGATGATTCTGAGTTTTCATCACTTAACAGTTCCATCAAATTGTTGGCTGTTTTCTGCCACGTTATTATTGCATCCTTCCAGTTCTTGGTTGCAACGCCAAGCTGGTATTGCAACACCTTGTCGGTTGCAACTGCTTCTCCTGATGATCTTGTTTGACCCTCAGCTGATTGTTGCAACACCTTGTCGGTTGCAACTGCTTCTCTTGATGGTCTTGTTTGACCCTCAGCTGATGGTTGCAACACCTTGTCGGTTGCAACTGCTGTTTGTCCCTCAGCTTTTGGTTGCAACACCTTGTCGGTTGCAACTGCTGTTTGTCCCTCAGCTTTTCCTTCTCCTTCTATCATCTTGTCTGATCGTTGGAGAGAGCTTACTTGAAGAGCCGAGAGGCCGTTTAACTCAGGAAAAGGTTGGCGATTTCCCTGAGTTCTTTTCACTCTTCTGAGAAAGAGTTTTCACTGTGACTGTCTGTGAGGCGAAACGCTGAATAATTACAACGACTCAGGTTTTTACGGGAGTGTCAGTTTATTTTAGAGTCATAACCATCGAGGGGAATGCAACTCTGTCTTTGATGAACGAATCTTTTATCTTTACTCCTTCAACTGCTTTATTCCGTTCTTCTTCCCTTCACTCCGTGAAAACTGTACATGATAAAGCATAACAGGAATGCATAATAAGTATGTGTTCATGAATATAAGTTCCACAATATTAAAGCAGATATAGCATTCTACTAAATCAAAGACATTGTCTGAATTATAACTCCTTTTCATGTTTGCTTGTAAATCTTATATAAGTCAGACACTGTCTTGACAAATCTATCTGAACTTTATGTAGAATGTCACAGCTAACACACAATTAAACTTATATCATCTCTATCATGTCTAAACCAGATTTAACACGGTTTCAACTAAAAATGTAACCATATTTAACGAGCTTGAATGACTTTATCATAGTCAAGGAATACAATAACAAAGTCATGACCTTGACCTGTCATTCACACAAGTATGCTCACATTCCTCCTCCCTTTTCATCATAGAATGTCTTATTCTGCATCATATATTTTACTTGACTATACTTCTTTCCACTTTAAGTAAAACTAAACATCAATTATAGATGTAATGACATATTACATGTGCAATAGATATCTCTAGTCTATCCTATGTGTGGGTACACAGTATACACATGTTATACATTTGCCATACAAATTACTGTGCTACTGTGTAAGTTTCATACAATGTAAACATCTTAAAAACTACCTTTTTGACATTCATTTTCATAATGCTCAAATATGTGGTTTAACTAACCTCTGTACCTCCATAATACTGTAGAAACAGCTCTCAGGAACAAAGGATGCTCCAGAAAACCACAGATTTTCCTCACAAAACAGAAATCATGTTGCAAACATGATCATTTCAAATCAGCCAACAACAGGTGGCGCCAAACAAGTTTCTGACCTTCAAACTAGAAAAACTTTAAATAAGAACTGTCAAAATAATCTTTGACCAAACGCCCTCTGTTGTTCTATTATTGCAATGTCAAGCTAAATCAATAAATACTAAATAAAATGACTTGAACTAGCAAATACAAAATTACAACTTTCACAGTTTGGCTTCAAGTTTCGGGATTGTTATCATAATTGTAGTACGCTAAATGTAAGGAAAGGTCCTTTAGCACATCGTCTTACTATAAATTGGAAGATGGCTGTGGGTTCTAGCATAGCGGAATGCTGAAACAAGTCATTATTTGATGTAAAACCAGGGAAAGCACCCTTAAATAAAAAATTGTGTTAAAGAATGCATGAATGTACATGATGATAAATATTGTAACTATTTAATTGTTAGTACTGTGTTCGATGAAGAGGCATTGATATGTGAAGGGTTACTAATAAGCTTCTGCTGAACTTTGGAACAGATTACCTTTAAATGTAAAAAACTGTCAAACCGTTAACCTATTCAAAACTAGTCTCAAGACACATTTCGTCGCTGTTTTCACGAAGTGACGGTAGTGAAAAAAATTGCATTCACTTTGCGTTACGATTTTCCTCACTACCGTCACTTCGTGAAAATAGGAACGATTTATTCAACATTGCGTTCGATGATTAATTAACTCTGTTCACTTTGACGTGTATTCCATATGTATTGTAATTTGTATGTCTATTTGCATTTTTAGTTTTGTATAAGATGTAATATTATTGTATATCAGTCTATTTTGTGTGTATAGCTCTATAGAGACTTCGGTGGTAAGCGCTTTTAATATAAGTAACGTTTTTATTATTATTATTATTATTACTAATAAGTGAAAAGGACTGCGGAGACCCATTGGCATTGCAATACATGTAAATGTATGAACAATAATAAAGCCCCTGGAAGCGGGCACGGATCCAGGATTTCTTATGGGGGAGGCCCAAATTTGATATCAATTTGAAATTTAGTGTGCTGAAATTTGAAAATCGAGCCGGCCGATATTTCGCCCAGTGGGGGGGGGGGGGGGGGGGGTGTTGGAATGGGGGAGGGGGAGGGGGGTAGTGAGCACTATGTGGGGGTAGAGAGCACTGAATTTGTTTTTTCTATTTTGGCCCCGAAAATTTGAAAAAATTCAACCCCCTCCCTCCCCTCTGGATCCGCGCATGCCTTGAAGTGTTGGTCTTGGAGCGGAGTTTTACAAGGTTTTTTGGTTAGAAGTGAAAGAATAGGTTATATCAAGTTTAAATGAGGGGTATCAACAACTAAAATTATCTTCCTCCCCAACGACAGGGTCTAACTACATTATTATTTAAAAAGGGGGATAGGAGTTATCAGGACAATTGGAGATCTCTTTAGCTATTAAAAACTGATTACAAGATTGCGGCTAGAGTACTGTCTAAAAGACTTCAACATGTTTTATCAAATTTCTTTTCAACTAATCAAAGAGGTTTCGAAAATAAAAGATCCGCAGCAGAAAAAACGGTTAGTACAAAAACTGATTAAAACAAAAATAATAATAATAATTTCTTTAATGATAAGACATCTAATAGTTCAGGGATCATAATATTTTTTGGATTATTTCCCATTGTTTCCTATTTCATGTATTCATGTATTACGTAAATTCAATTTTAAAGAATCTGTTATCACCTGGAAAATAATACTAAGCTGGAAGAATTGTTGAATATACTTTCATTGAGTAATTAATGTAAATATGTATTGACTTTTGGAAATAAAAACCTCGCTTGAGGAAAAAAGAAAAAAATCACAAAGACGTAGGTCAGTCGGTGATAATTATGACTTTTTAGTCTTGAACATGAATCGCATTCTCATTTTTTTTAAATTGATGTAAACCAACTAGTATGCAGCATTGTCGTGATCATAGGATGGTGAATAAAACCGATTCTGGAGACAAGTCAAATGATAGATGATTGGGAAAATACTGGTTTGTAAAATTATGCGAGATGTAGTAGAAATTGGTATTTCCGAATGAATTGAAATCATCTTGTTTTCCTTGTATAGCTCCTGATAAAAATGAAAACATCCAAGTGGTGGAGCTTCCAATCATAGGCCACTTATCTCAGGACCTAAGGCCGGACTTCCTGCCATTGGCAATCCCAGAAGACATCTCAGAGAGACTGGAAAGAGTACATGGTAACCCCGCCGTCTGGTGGATAGGTCAGATCATGACCTACATTCTGAGACCTCAGCCTCAACTCCAAGAATTCATGGACAAAGAGACAGCGGCCTTAGGATTCACACATCCGATCGTTGGGTGAGACGAATGAATCGGATTTGATTTGAGTTGATTTGATTTAATTTCTTTTCACTCGTGGTAGAAGAATCTATGTGTTGGTAAAAGATGAGTGGCAGTCCCCCCCCCCCCCTCTCTCGCCTACCTGCGCTAAAGAAACTACAGGTCAGCTTGTCAAGTAAAAAAAATGGGCGGTACACCCACCCACCTCCCGACCAATCTTAATAAATTTCAAGTCAACCAACCGAAGTATAACAGGGATACCCCATCGAAACTCCAGCCAAGTCTGTTATTTACTTCTCAGGATAAGTATGTTGAATTAATAAGTATACAGTGCAGTGGTACGGTACGGCACGGATCAACGGTCCGATACTTGGTTAGTACTAAGGACTTTTAGATTTACACGACGAGAGCGTGGACTGCCGCGTGTGACATCGTGTTAAGGCACTGGGCGTGCCCGGCAGTGCCTTAAAAGGACGTCACATTACCTTAAAATGGTGTCACACGTGGCGGTCCACGTTGTCGTCGTGTAAATCTAAAAGTCCCTATTGTACTGAATATGTTACCCTACAGTTTGATTCTGGCTATTTTTGCTATGTCGTAGTTTATGTGACATGTTTAATCTCAGTGTCACTTTCTTTATAATGATCGAGTGCACTTTTCTCTTTATAATGCTAAGTGTCCCTATACAAAATCTTATCAGTGTCCCTTTCTTGATAATGAATGCCCTTTCCTACTTCCAAGCGTCCCTATTCACAATCTTATGAATTGGCATCTCAATTTAGTTGGAAATGACACCTTAAACATTTTTCTGGACTATTTGGTTCAAAAGTTTAGCGTGTTTGTACATTACACCATGCAGACTGGTGGCCATTTTGGATTTGACCTCTCAGGGTCATCAGAGGTCAAATCTGACTTCCCTCCACATCTGAAAATAAATCTTATGGTGAAAGCTAACTATGCTAGAAGTTTCATGCTTTTCACAAAAAGTGCACTCTTTCTTTTAGTTTTCGTTTTATGCTCCTCCACCCCTCCATTTCAACTAAAATATATTGATCCTTAGATTTTAAACAGTTTTCGTATACCCTGGCAGGGCCTGGGGAGCTATGCGCTCTCACTCCCTCAATGACGTCCACCTCATGTAATGTGTGTACGCCCAGTAATAAATCTAGTTACGGCCTGAGTGAATTATACCGATTGGTTTGTAAAATTGCAAGGACGAATTGCAATTGTGTACTCGGTATGCATGCAACGTCGCGTATCTTTTATTTGTATTTCTTTTCTTTTTACTTTTAGCACAAATAATCAAATATATTTGACAGTAGAGTCCTTTTAACATCATTTAATTGATATCACAAATTATATCATGCATACAAAATTTATTGGTTTTTGATTGGTTGAGAGCTCGTCACGTGACCAGAAATATTTCAACTATTTGAAGGTTGCTCTGAAAAAGTATTATATGAGAATACTATTTGGGAGTTCGAAAAAATATGTTAATTTTTTTTTTGAACAGATTTTTTCTTTTTTCAAATCTTAATTTAATGAAAACAAAATATTTTAAATCTTTTTTGATAAAAAATGACTTCATTTTTTAATTCTAATTTTTTTTCCCCTAAACAATTATTATTATTATTTTTTTAAATGAATTTTTGATGCAGGATATAAAACAAATATACCATGCCTTCTATTCGAGGTCCTGGTTAAACTATGGACCTCGGTGACTCCAAAAGTACCATGCGCCCCTCAGCAAATAGTACTATTGGAGTCGCCTCTAGTTTTTTGTTTAGAGCCATATATACTTGTATATCATTAACAAAAAATAACTAAATGCTGCTTGTAAGTGTCGGCTTGCATGGTGATGTAGATATGCAGTAGGTTTGCGGGTGCACCATGTGTGTGAGAGAGAGAGAGGTTTGAGGAGTCCTGAAAAGGACTCTGACTCGGTAATCTTTCTTGGAGGAGTGTAGTCCTGAAAAGGACTGTTTGTTAATATCTTTCTTATCACATAGTTCTCAGGAGAACTATAGCGCTTGGAGAGGATGAGTGGCTCGACGTTTCGAACAGGTTGACTATCCGACTCCTATCCGACTCCTGACGACGGATAGTCAACCTGTTTGAAACGTCGAGCCACTCATCCTCTCCAAGCGCTATAGTTCTCCTGAGAACTATATGCTAAGAAAAATAACAAACAGTCCTTTTCAGGACTACACTCCTCCAAGAAAGATTACCGAGTCAGAGTCCTTTTCAGGACTCCTCAAACCTCTCTCTCTCTCTCTCTCACACACATGGTGCACCCGCAAACCTACTGTATAACAAACAACTAAAGGTACATTCTCACCTTTGCCAGTCAAAACAAAACGAGCTGAGGGTTTGGAGTTTATCAGGGTATCTTGTTGACTAACATGGATTTCATTTTAATATTTCCCCCCCAATGAAAGCATCCACGTGAGGCGTACAGATAAACTCATCCGGGATGCCAAATTTCACGGTATCGAGGAGTACATGGTCTACACCGAAGAATTCTACCAAGAATTGGAGAAGAGACAGGCAGTGCCGGTCAGGAGAATCTTCTTAGCAACAGACGAGGCCAGTCTGCTCGAAGAAGCCAAGAAGAAGTGAGTTTGGGACAACAGTCGTGGTTTAAGTGCACCATGCAGAAACACGTAGGTCTTGTGGTAATCCTTGAATGCCACTATGGAATTTTAATATTAGTCTTTTAGTCTTTTGACAAGACATTGAACTACATTTGCCACACCCGACCCAGGTAAAGTAAATGGGTACCCACAGGTAGTTATTCTTTGAATGCGTCAGTGCCTTTGTCAGGGCATCTAGGCCTCAGAGGTAACAATCCAAACGTTAAATGTGTGATATGCGCCATACAAGAACTAATTAACTAGTTGATATTGTCACATATTTCGTGGTAGGATGAGTTGAAAGGGATGTTAATTTATAAACAAATAAATAAATGAAGCGCACATACCCAACGCTTCTAAGGTGCTCAAGGCAATCATAAATTACCCCCGGCTCTGCGAGACTCCGTAACAGTGCTCATATGCATTCAAGGAATTCCTTTCTGCCAGTATACCCATTAATGCCTGCGTCACCCTGTCCCGAAGGTGACACCATATGGACCGTATCCGGACACCTACCCCCTGGACATCCACCCGGATAACCACTCCCAGTCAACTACCCCCTAGGACAACTATCCTCTAGGACTACCATCCCCTAGGGCAACTACCCTCTAGGACGACTACACCCAGGGACAACTACCCAAGGACAACTACCCCAGACAACTTTCCCCGGACAACTAATCCCGGACAAATACTCCCCGGAGAACTACCCTCTAGGATAGTTGTCCGGGGGAAAGTTGTCCTAGAGGATGGTTGTCGTAGAGGGTACTTGTCTGCGGGTAGTTGTCCCAGGGGGTAGTCATCCTAGAGGGTGGTTGCCCTAGGGGGTAGCTGTCCTAGGGGGTAGTTGTCCTAGGGGATAGTTGACTGGGGTGGTTATCCGGGGGTGGTTGTCCAAGGGGTACGTGTCCTAGAACCCAGATTTGTTTTTAATGGGGGCACTCATCATAAGGAAAAGGGGGCACTTATAGATTGGAAAAGGGACACATGTGAAAAGGTGCGCTTATCGGAGTTAAAACAGAGAAGTTATTAAAAGGGAAAGACGCACTTCCTACAAAGGAAATGGGTAACTTGTCAACGTACAAGGGGCACCTCTCAAATTTGAATAAGTCAATTATCAGAGGTGAAGGGGGTACTTATCATAAATGAAAAAGGGCACTTCTCGTACCTGAAGGTGGCACTTACTAGAGATTAAAAAGGGCACTTATGAGAATTGAAAATGGACAGATATTGGACACATATTGCAAAGAAACATGGGGACTTGTCGAAGGAAAAGGGGACGTGTCAAAATAAAAGGGGCACTTATCATAGGCGAAATGTAATAGGGGCACTTTTTAAGGTAAAATGGGCCCTTTTTCTATGTAAAAAGAGGCACTTCTTACGAAGTTATAGGGGCACTTTTCCTATGTAAGAATGGAAATTTTAGGGCTCTTGAAAGAGCAGGAGGGCGCTGTGCCCCCCTCTCCCTGTGCGCCGCCTCTGGCTCTTAGGCTGGCTTTTTAGATGTCCATATTACCATAACACATGGGAAACGCTTCAGCTACTTAAACTCGGCTGTCTTCGCCGACACCGTGGTCCCATCTCGATGTTATCGTACTATAAGATAATACTATGGCTACACGATGGCATTGCGAGGACTTTACGTAGTCATGTTGCTTTCCGAAGACAATCGGGCAGCTTTTTGTTTCCTTCGTACTGTCTTCGTGAGGTGATAAATGCTTGATGGCCTTACGAAGGACATTATGGACTCACGAAGTCAATACGAAAATGAACCTTCGGAAGGTCTTCGGGCAATTTGTTGGCATGCCAATGATTTGGCACCGCTCACGAAGTTGCTTCATGGGCCTGAAAAATCCACCGGCGGTCATACGATGACTTAAGATGCCCTCACGAACGGCCCGATGTCTTTTCGATCAGAACCAAGTTTGAAATTTCCTTTATCATGTGTCCATCCGGTGTCAACTTCGGAACAGTGTGACGCGGGCATGGTAGAGAGTGGCAAATGTAGATTTAGGGGTTGGCAAAGGACATTAGTGCCGCTGTGTATGACGGGCCAAGCATGCCAATATCCGTACAACTAAAAAAAATATACGACTATACGTCTATCCAGCCGGCCAATCAGAACGCAGGAAACTGTACAACTATACAACTATACGACTAGAGGACTATACGTCTATCCATCCATCATAGTACCCGTGAATGCAACAGCGTGCGGGCTGATCTGAAGTGCCATAATTCTATACAACTATACGACTATACGTCTGTCCTGCCATCGGATAGATGACGTTTGATTTTAACCATATATTTGTGGTCCTATTTGTGACACTGGCAGGTTGCTAATTGGCGTGGGGTCCAGGGGGTGAAGCCCTTAGAAGCTAATGGGCTTTTGGCAGGCGCGGATCCAGGGGGAAGGAGGGAAGGACAAAAAGAGGAAGAAGAAGAAAAGTAAAGAAGGGGGATATCAGTTGCAATCATCAACGTGTGGATCGGGGAGGGGGCGAAAGGCCCTTGCCTCCCCCAGCAAACTTAAAAGAGAGAGAAGGAAGGGAAGGGAAAGGGAAAGAGGAGAGAAAGAAGAAAGAGGAAGAAGATAGATAGAAGAGATCTGTTGCGATATTTTTCCCGCCAACAAGGTGCGGATCGGGGGGCCGAAAGGCCCTTGACTCCCCCTCCCCCTCATCAAAAAGGGAGAGAGAGAGAGAGAGAGAGAGAGAGAAGAACGAGAGGGAAAGGGAAAGAGGAGAGAAAGAGAAAGATATGCTTTTGCGATTTTCCTGCATACATCTTATATTTTGATATGTAAACTTTTGACTTTGTTTCATAGATTTTAAAATATTTTTTGAAATATTTGTTTTCAAACTTGTTAAGCTCCACCCCAAAAAACCTCCAGATCTCATTTCCCTTGTGACATCAACTGTCAGTCGTCAATGAGCTAACTTGAGAAAGTGGCATGTAACAAACAATAGCAACATATAAGTTGCTATGTCAGACATGCCCTAAACTAATATTATTGAATAGACAAAGGTATGTAATTTCCCCTAGCTTAGCACACATTCATAATAGAATTGCATGCTTCCATACATATGTACAATACATCATCATTGTCTCTGTCTTCCTGGTGATGCTACATCATGTCTGACATAGCAACTTGTATGTTGCTATTGTATTACTTATTGTAACAGGTGGTCGACTTCGGCAAAGATACATACCACTTTCTCAAGTTAGCTCATTGATGACTGAGAGGTGATGTCACAAGGGGAATGAGATCTGGAGGTTTTTGGGGTGGAGCTTAGCAAGTTTGACAAACAAACATTTCAACACATATTTAAAAATCGTTTTTCTATTATATTAATGTTGTAAATTTCCAATTTTCCCCTCAAAAATCTTATTTCCTCACACCAGCAGCCAAGTTATATTGATAGAGTAGTTTTTGTCACTTAAATCATGCAAAAAGGGAATTTTTATAAATTATTTATATAAAAATCAATACTGAATTATGAATATACAATATTCAGAAAATAGTATCAATTCGCAAAGTTCATACAATATTTTGTGAACGTTAATGCACACAATATGATACATGTCATATAACCTGGGCAAAGGCATGGGGAAATCGAATTTTGGGGGATAAAAAGGGAAATTAATGTGATAAACATATATAAAGCAATTGATAAATAGTGAGGCAATGACGTCACAAACTGATAACCATATTGGCAATTTGTGTAGGGATTGTCTGAGTTCCATAGTTTTTCATACTTTAAAAATAATTCATAACTTCTGTAATATTTATCCGATTTTACTCAAATTTGTTTTGCTCTGTTTCTCTTACTTTTCTGCATCTATTAAAAGCAAATTATTTTTTGGAATGGACTTAGCCTTTAAACACCTTCCGGGGCGAATCCAGGATTTAAAAAAAGGGAGTGGGGTTCTATTTCACCCGAATTCCTACAAGCAAGCAATAACAATGAAACCAAATTAAAAAAGAAAATTCGACCCCCGGCCCCCACCAACAAAAAATAGATACGACGACCGTACAGTAACAACAACAAAAAGTTATCGAGCAAAAGGGAGGGTCGGGGATGGGGCTGATTGAAAACAAATATGTAATCCAAAATGATATTAGATTATCATCAGTATGCAATTAAATCCAAAGGAAAAATCTAACCAGGTTACAAATAAACGGTTGAAATTAATATACTGTATATATACAGTTACAAAGGGAGAAATAAATCTACGAATTCGGATTATCATCAATGTAAAGTAACCAGAAAAGAAGGATGATCTCTGACAAGCAAGCAAGTAAAAATGAAAAAGAAAGGGAAATCCAGGCCCCCTTGGCAGCCCTGAATCCGCCCCTGATATTGTCGATATACTCAGCCCATCAAATGCCTTATCATTCCACATTGGATGAATTCATCTAATCATTGGAAAGTAACTTTTGATGAAGTAAAATTCAAATATAACTCAAAACTTACAATCAAAAGGCATTTAAGTTGTTTAGAAAAGTCAATTCATCTCTCATGGTCGTGGTCGAGTGGATATGTCACCGGACTGTGGATCACATGGTCCGTGGTTCGAGTCCCGCCGCGGCACTAATATCTTTTGGCAAATGCCACACTCGACCCAGGTTATGTAAATAGGTATCTAGTACTGCTGGTAGGATTGTTCTTTGAAATGTACTTTGCGCTGATAACGGCTGCCCGAGCTATTGAAGATAGTGTAATCATTCCCAAAGCTCTTTGGATTTCGCATATAGGGACGATCGACAATGTGTATGCGCTATACAAGAATTGAATATTTTTCTAGTTTTCATTACAGGAGGTTGCTTGTTGTTTTGATGGCTGGGGGGGGGGGGGGAAGCTGCTGACAGATGAAATAAAAAGGTTTAGTTCACATCCTTTTTTCCTTCTTGTTCATAGATAAAGTTTATATCTTATCGGAACTTTATAGATCAACCAAACAGTCAGTCATAGAGATTGATTGATAAAG